AGTGGAGCGAAATCCTATTTCTAGCCACATTTTGAGCTTCAGCCTATGGCCTACAGTGTCTTTTGTCGGAATTTTAAAATTGAAAAGTAAAAAATCCAAATTGTCCGTTTAACTGTGCATTTTATTCTATAACACCATATGTTGCAAGCTTTTTTTAAGTGTACTTAGATTTCCTTAACTCACCATCCACTATTGTTTCTCTAAAAGCGATTTATTTCAAAGCTCAGCATCGAATTTGCTCTTTGGGAATTTTATGCTTGCAATGTGTCTCTTGAAAAGTCTCTCTTAAATACTTTTTTCAGCACCCCTTCTTTTCTTGGGAGTTGATCAAACTAATTGCAGTATGTTTGCAGTATGTATTTGTTCACAGTCCTGCTTAATGAACTGCAGTTGTTTGACACTCATATTTTTTCATATCTCATAGTCTTGTAGTTGGTTAAAGGTTGAGTCAATTTGACAAAATGTTTAATTGCATGTGTTTTTTAATTTGTGTGGAATTTGGTTTGGCATTGCTTTGTTGATAAGTGTTGCCTTCTCTGAAAAGACATCTGGATGTCAGAGTACTCTACCCGTGTGTGTAATTCAGTTCACCAGAGATCTGTGTGTTGTGCCATGATTTGAGCAAAAAGGTGATGAAGATGAAAATGAGCTAACTGGCTCCTCAAAGTATGATGAATGTTTTGGAATATGCAGTACATCTTACTTCCAGGAATAAATTCAGATCTTGATTGCTCAGTCCACAGGACACCTTCTGCCTGGCACTGGGCTAATTTCTTCAGAAATTAATTACATGCCAGAGAAAATGGCAACATTTCAGGATTAAAATCCAACTGTGTTGACTGACAATGTTTTTCAGAGGTTCACATATTTATGTGAAGTACATAATTATCTTCTATTCTTATTATTCCTACTTTTACTTTGATATTATTTTGAACTTTTCCTGGTTTTGTAAAGCTATTCTAAGATAAAATGCGTCCTTTGTTTTTTCAATTCACCTGTTCTACATTAAGTTAATTTCAGCCTTGTCTCCATGTTCTTTCCTCAAACATACATTTCTTAACTTCTTTGGTTTCCTTTTGTCTTTCATTAGTATTTGTGTCCTGATTTGCTTTTTTGTCTGGGGTGTTTTCATGTGTTTCGTTTATTGATCATTTCCTGTGAATGCACCTATTTCCTTTTATGAGTAATTTGCCCAATTGTTGTCTTCCAATATACTTAGTTTGTGTCTTGCTTCTTTAGTCTGTTCATTCCAGTCATTTCTACATCTAATGTCTTTGTAAAAACTCCTCTGCAGGCTATTTTCCTTTGACGTGTTGGGGAAATTATAACGGTTGACCTTTTGGTCTACATACCTAAAATCCTCAGTCAAGAGCCCCTTATTTGAGTTCTCTTCTCCAATTACTATTTTCACTTCAATACTTCATTCTTTAAGCTCACTTTAACCATGCCACATTCCTTGGATGTTTGCAAGCAGACAATTTTTTTGTTTTACTAGATTCTCTACATGATCCCAGGATGGTGTCCATGTCTTCAACCAAGACTCTCCTTTCACACTGCCTGCTGCTCCACCACAACCAGCAACTTATTGATATGTAATTGGACTTGTCACTGCAGTATTTTGGTGTCCAGGATTCATCATGTAACAAAAACCTCTCCATAACGAACAGTTATACTTCCTGCCTCAATCCATTTTGCTCATGTTCCCAGACTCAAAACTGCAGTGCCAGGGCCTGAGTTCACCATTTCCTGGTCTGCTAATAGTTCTCCTGCCCATTTGGAGAGGTTTGATAATATCAATTGAATGCAGAAATGTAGCATACAGACATCTTCGTGTTCAACTTTCACTTCTTGGGTCAGAACATATTTCTGTGAAGCTTTCCTCCAGGCAGCAGAATTTAATTAGACTCTTAAATCAGTATAGAGTCCATGGACCTCCTGACTTCCTGATCAACTTTGTGAGGGGTTCCTGTTTGTAATCCAGGTTTCCCTTTAGAGAAACTCCACCTGCATTCTTCATGCATGATCATACTAGGAAAGACATCACCAGTCTTCTCAATTTCTACCCCATATTCCTAGGCATCCAACTCATCTCACTCATCCTATTTGGAAATTAAACTACTAATTTTAGCTTCTTGTGATATACAAATGAACGACAATGGAGGCCGGTAACTCAGATTAATGTAGAAAAAAGTATATGAATTTCCTAGGATCATGTCACCGTATAAAAAGTGCTTATTAAATGCAACTAAGTTATTATTAAACCTATTTCTATCAAATTCTATAAAGGGGTGTAAATGTAGACTTCCTAAGAAAACAGAGGTGTCTGAAAAGACAACATGTGCAGCAGAGAATGACTCACTTAACTGTCTGGAACATCGGACTGAAAAGTATTTAGGAAAATTGAGTGGACAGCTAGTGGAATTTGGACGATGATGGTGTATTTGAAACTCTCAACCCCATGTACATTTTTTACCTTTGTTACTTTTAGCTTCTTTTCGTACTGCAATTTCTGATCCTCCAGATGCTCCACTTTGTCCTTGAGAACCCGAAGTTCCTTTAGTAAAACCTAAAACAAGGAATGTCAAAAAGTTCAGTTTGAGATCTAGCTGAATTTATCAAACATGCGCAGTGTTACTGTCACACAGCACACAATCGTTAATAAAGTGGGATGCATTTTTTTGTGTCAAATGTTGATCAAAATATCATATTGATATCATAAGCTTGGTTGAGTTTGCACAGCGAGATGGATTACTGTGTAATTGCTTCAGTTCCATTTGAAGCTGAGGATCACACATTAAGTGTGACAACCCATGCTGTGAAAAAAATTCAAACCATGCAGCCAAGCTATGCCTACACTTTCTCCTCCGCAGTGGCACCTCTTCTCTTCATCTGAGCTACCCTCTCTCAGGCTGTGCGTGTTTCCGTCAGACCCGTCTGAAGCCTCCTCTAGCTTGTGCATCCCCCCCGAGGTTCTTTCACAGGACACACCAAGGCTCGAGCGCTGCCCCTCACTGGTGTCAGGGGGGCACGCCACTGGAAACCTGCTGTCAGTCGGGGTCTCCAAGGCCCTTTTCTCCTGGATCTTGCTATTAATCTCCTTCTGAAACTGACACATCTGCTCCTGCAGCTCACTAATGAAATTCACGACAGTCTGACAGATATGGTGGGGGAGGGAAAAAAAAAGTTGAGAGGAATGTTAAAAAAGAGTGGCAGAAACAAACGTGCTGAATGTTTGCACACCAATGTAGAAAGAACTGTCCGAGCACAATTGTTACTCTCACCTTGCAATCTTCCACTGTAAAACCCTCATCTTTGAATATCTTCCAAAAATGTTAATCCTGTTTTAGGAACACAGACTAATGCCTGGTCCCAATGTGCACACAAAGTTAGCACTCTGCCAAAGAGTGCTTTGGTTGTTTCTGCAACCCAGATTCATTACTGTGTTTCATTCACTTCTGATTTTGATAGATTATTTCCTTTTTAACGGGGGTCAATAAGATGGCCTCTGAGTTTGCCTTTTAGAGGTTATCCCTGTCTATGTTCCCCCAGAGAATATAAACAGCAGCCAAGCAATGCTTGTACTGAGGACAGAGGAAGTCTCACTTGGGGTCCGGTACAGCGGATATGACAGATGATATGGAGCCCCTCCACGGCTAAATTTAAACATGGGCTTACTGGCTCCACAGGGAAGTGCCTTCCCCACATGTTCTGCCGTGTGTGTGTGTGTTCGTGTGTGTTTGCATATGTGTGTGTGCAAAAATGTGGACATGTGGACATGTTTGTGTAGTAAAAGCACCACGTGGGAGATCACCAAAGTGATAAAAGCTAAATGTTATTTTCTGTGGTCTCCTTAAGTTAGAACAGCTGCTGTAGGAAAGTAAAATAAAAATTAAGAATCGGTGAAAGGCGCCCCTCTCCGCAATATTACATCAAAACAGTGTGCCAGAAATTTCTGTAAACAGTAATGAAGAAGGAGGAGTCCTGTTTAATAATGTAATTTAACATTTACCGACCCACATGAATTCGATATTGCGCTCAAAGTATACACACACTCAAATTTGTCCTGTCTTCCACTATGCTGGATCTCCTACAGCTGGAGCCTTTTTAACTGAAAACACAAAGACTCTTTGACCAACAGTGTTTAGATAGTAACTACACACTTTACAGTATCCTGCATGGTAAACGTTCTGCTCTCCCATTCTAAAATTCACATGGTCACTAAATGCCCAGGAAGTCTGGTAGCCTGGCACATCAGCCTTAAGAAAATACATGATCTACTTAAGAATTGCAAAAAAAAAATCAAAACCACTTGGACACTTTTTTTCCTGCAGACTGCCCAGGAACAACAAAGTTTGGGTTTGGGTAAATGTTCCCCTCCATTCGTCCAAAAAAGTGTTTATGGTCTCACATAAAATCAGCAGCTGACTGCAGGGTAAGATCCAACGGAACAGAAAGTGGATTTTTGTGTGTATCCTCGTCATTCTTGGCACAGCTATCTTAAAATTTCCAGTGAATGGGGTGAAATAGAAGTTCTGAGGGGTTTAAAACTAATTCACCCCTGGTGAAATCAGCTGTAAGGAAATATGGATTCAAGCATTTGTGTTAACATACTAATGTAAATTAGGTCATTGATAAATTATGGTCAGAGTGAAACGACAATTTGATTCATACAAAAGACAGCTGACACAGAAGTTTATTTAAATGAACCTTCAATACTTATCAATATACTTCTGTCCCTCATACGGGAGTCTTACCTCTGCTTTATGATGCCTCTCAACTCCTTGGGCCTGTTTTCCCTCCATGTCTGCCAGCTTCAGTTTCAGGTAGGACACCTCCCCCATAAGACTCAGCTTTTGGCTCTCCAGTGACGTTCTATGCTGGAGCTCCTGACATCACCATCACACGGCGAGAGCAAGAATTAACTCAAACGTACACGTAAACACAGTGTGTGTTCAGTTTATACACGAGGCTCAATACTCACTCTACAAAGGCAAAATTAAGCGTGAGGCAATACAAACCCACCGGCTCTGAAATGACAGTCCCCTCACACAAACCCCACCGGTTTCAGAATCTGTTTGGGTGGCTAAATATACACAACCCATGACCACTATTTATAATGTCTATTTCACAGCTCTGTCAAAGTGCATAGCAGAGAGGAGGGGGGAGGGTGAGAGAGGAAAAAGCATGCAAAACATTCAGCGCGAGAACATCAGAATAACTTTGACAGGTGCATTTTCCTGTCCTGTGAGGGTGAATGGTTTCTAATCAAACCCAGTTCTGAAGGGGATGACTGTTAAACGGCTCTGTGATATCCATCTCCAGGAGCTGTCAGCCTTCAGAGTTCAACCGGAGCATGCAGGCAGATGTATTACTAATTTGGTCGATATCAAGCAGGTGCTAAATCACTTAATGTCCAGAAATGAGCAGCAAACTGTTAATATGAATAGATCTTTGGCTTTGGAAAATATCTGGGCTTACTCCAGAGTGCACATGGAAAATATTAGAGCTTTGTCACCAGGAAGAGATTTACGGCTCACGTCCAAAGCCTGATAATGACCACGTCTCCGAGAAACCAGGCTTGGCTTTCCATTGAAAATATGCACGCATGCAGAAGTAGACATAACAAATCGAGTCCACGGCTCATCAGAACTTTGTCAGAGAGGTCTGAAATGTTCCAAAGGGACTTTTAAAATGGTTGAAATGTAAGAATAAGAATGAATACCTTGCTTGATCATCTAGTCCCTGCCTGAAGCAAACCATGTAGTTCCCTCGTGGGTACAGTGGGTGCCAGGGCGTTGTAGTTTCAGAAAGTTCAAGTTTGAAACACCCATTCAGTGTCTTCAACCATTGTCTCTGTCATAGATGTGAAAGCTACAGCAAACAACTGAAAACTGACATTTACTTCTAACTATTACAGGAACACCACCGCACTCCTCCCTCCCTCCCTCCCATCTCTCCACCTTTTGCAACTGTTCCTCCCCTCCTTCTTTGCCCTCCCTCTGTCCTCTCTTTTTTTTTCTTTTTCTCTAGATGCCTGCATGTGAGTAGTGGTGGTGGTGGTGAAAGATTGGGGGGTGTGGCTAACTGTGCAGTAATCACCTGCCTAGACAGACTTCCCCAGCAATGCATAAACCAGACATGCACTGTGAGTGTGAAACTGTCTGAGCATCCTATTTTTTTTTTTTTCCGTCAAGGTAACTGGCACTCATATTCATAGGGATTCTAAGAAATTAAATTTCAGGAAGCACTACCCACCCTGAGTTACATTATGCAGTTTAAGAGAAAAATGTGTCCCTAATCATAAGACCAGCAGACAGTTTGGGGCACTGTAATATTTTCTCAGATGAAACACAAATACAGACATTGCAGTTCTGCATGCCTACTTGTGAAATGTTGTAATCTGAGCGTTTGGTGGTGAGAAAGTTCTGCATTGAACAATCCAGTATGATTGCAGGTCAGTAGAGCTGAGTACCTGCTGGAGCATTTCCTCAGTGCAGTTGAGTTTGTGCTGATGCTCTACCAACGAGCTCTCCAGGTCGCTGATCTTCACCCCCTGAGCCTCCACCTGGTCTGTCAGCACACCCACCTGTATGAATGCAAGCATAGAGATTAGACGGATGGACATATTTCCTAAACATAGACAGGAACGTTTTGGATCATTCACTTTAATTACAGAGTTACTTACAATGGCCCATTCAGTAGTTATTTTCATTTAAACGCTGGTGCTCATTTTGGTTGTAATTTCTAAGCCTGAGCCAGGCTAAATAAAGTCCATGCCATGTGAACATTGCCTTAGTTTTTTTTTTTTTAATGAATGAACCTTTGTGTTTGTCCAGTGCTGGCAACATGTCAGTAACTCAAGTCATGTCAGCAGTACTCATGCAGTTATATGTAAATTTTCATAGAAATGTTGCGGCGAAGAGTCTCAGCTAATCACTTCCAATAAGGCGAGTTTAGCCAGTCAACTGGAACCAATTTTACAGAGGAATGTTTTCTAAAAAAAAAGCTGAGAAACAAACTGGGCATCTACTCTTTCTCTCTTTGATGCGGCCACATGCAAACACACCTTTTGGCTACAGCACATGATAGTGCTCGCCTAAACCTGTCTATGAAGCACTTGTTCTGCAGCCCTGAGTGCTACACACCTACAGATATAAGACGTGGACAAACACATCAGTCAAAACAAGCCATTCTGGTGTTGTAACAGCACTGAACCCACATCAGACTTGTTGCTTCACCAAGGCAGTGGAACAGAAAGACACAGTTACGCAACATGTACAGTGCAATACTGCAATACACCTTTGTCCTTTTACCTTTCATTACATTCCACTATCAACCTTGTGATACTTTATTTATGTAGCACCTGTTACGCTTGAGTGTTCCCCAAAGTGCTTTGCGAGGTCAAAGAAAAATCAATATAAAGCAGCCATGATAAAAATCAAGAGTTTATGAAGACTCAAGACTATTTACACCAGGTTTTAAATGACAAGGAAAGCAAAAAAGATACTCTGCCCACCATTGTGATCCTCCTAATTCTGAAAAAAAAAACAAGACCATAATGCTGACACTGTTTGGAATCAATGCACATCTTCAGCCTGGTGTGTTTTGGTTAAACATATGCGCAATATGCCCAGGCAAGCAAGTTCATTTAAATTATAGCAACCTCTTCATATGCCATCACATTAGCCATAATTTATGCCCACCTGCAGAATTAGTGACTCTTTGTCTCCCTCCAGTCGTGTCAGTCGCTCCTGGTAAGTCTCGCTGTTAGTGTTTGAACGGGTGTTTTCCTGCAGAACAGAGGTCACCTATTATGTTCATTATGCACACTATTAATTCATAACAGTTTGAATTGGGGTTGAGCCTCAGGCTCATACACACAGACCAATGTAAAAACCCACACAGAATGTTTTTAAACTACTTCTTATTTTGCCAGAGCTGCATGTGGAGTCAGTAAGAGGTTTACAGTCCCTAATCCTGTATTAAAATTGCGTACAATTCAAACCAGTTGATTAGCGGTGGGAAAAAATGTTGGCTGGTTTTAGTGATGTCCGTAGAGTCAATGGGAGCACGGAGCTGTCAAGGTACAAGAATCAACAGAGCCCTTATTTCTTTAAAATCCAGCCTTTTCAACCACACTGAAATATTATATCATCCAGTTTCCATTACTATAAACAGACCAGTACATATTGACTGCAATCATTTTTATGTGTTTTGTGGCCTTTAACATACCACTGTCTACTGAATTTTAAAAGGGTACTATATTCATGCACTTCAGTGGCACAATACTTGATTAGAAACCTTTATGTTACCTCTACAAACCTTGTTAGGTTTGTAGAGGTAACTCTCTCCTTCTGGCCCTTATTATCACTACAGTCAGTTTTAAGCTACTTACTTCCTGCTGTGTGCCTAATCATTTTTCAGTTGGAACCCAGCTCATTTTCTTAAGTACTGGCTCACATCTAAATACCTGAAAAAACAGGTCTGATTTTACACACCCAAATGTGGTGACGGCATTTTTTTTTCAAAATACAACAGCGTTTCCCAACCCTGGTCCTCAAGGGACACAGCCCTGCATGTTTTCCAAGTTTCCTTTCTGCTGCACACCTGATGAAAATAAATGTTGCATTATAGAATCAGAAAGCGAAAAGATAACAAAAATATTAAAATGCTAATCTTAAATCCCACTCAGTTTTTTGGTGTGTGATCAGAGTGATCCTTGCTGATAATTTTTTCCAATCATTCTAAGGTTATTGTTGCACTTGAAATCGGCTGTGACTCACTTGTTGTCCCAACATGTTGCCTTTGTTATTTCTAACACCAAAGCTGATCTTTTCAAAGACACATGTATTATCAGTGTCTTGTCCTGAACTGTTGTGGTACAGGGCAATATGAATAGTAGTTTAATTCAATACACAGTGGGGAATGTATTTAATTAAAGGGGGTAATAATACATTCTGTGTGTGTCCAAAGTAAAGGCCACCACCGACCAAAGCAACATCAAAGTGTGGTCCTTTTCCATAATGAAAAGTGTTGTGATGAAGCAGATTATCAGGCAATGCTTTAAATTATTTAGTGGCCTGTTGAAGTGAATCAATATGCTACTTAGCATGAAAATCCAGTTGAGTTCTGCATGACCAACAACCTTTCAATAGAAAAAGAATAGCAGATGCTGTCGAAAGATGTCCCATAGCAGGAAATTACTCATCTTTAATAAACATCTTTTCATTACTATCCTTTAAAAAATTTCTTGTGAAGTTTTAATTAAATGCATTGTGATTTATCAAAAAATACCTGCTGTTTCTTAAGAAAAAGTTTAATAGAAAAGACATTTACACGAAAATACTAAATGTACTAAAATACAAATAGAGCTCTTAGAAGAAATTCAAATTCAAATTATGTAATTGTTTCCGTTCTTTTCCAACGTCATTACTTTCACACCTGATGGGAATAGAGGGGTGCGTGCATAATATGTTCTGCTGCACACCTCGTCAAGTCAAAAACAAATCACGTCTTCCCTCTAAATTACCTACTGTGGCAACTGTAATTATGTGGGAAAAGCAACAAAGCTAACAGAGGCCATGCAATTGCACAGCTGTAGGAATGCATGAGGAGCATAGCTGCAGCCGAAAGTGCCTTACCTTTCTGAGCCATGCAAAATGTTTGTAGAAATCAATATGGTACTCCATTCTGCTGGCCCATTTTAGTGTAGTTCGGGTTTTTGGTGTAAAAAAGAAGAAAAAACTAATTGGAAAGAAAAAAAATGTGACCCCCTCGGAGGAGATGACCACAGAAAAGCTGCAGCAAAACAAAACAACAGCTTGTAGCTTTACTGCATCCTCTATCTCTTCCTTTCACAGGATCCCCATATTGTAGTTGTAGAGAGTGCAGTGAGAAGCTGGGTCTGTGCGGTTTGGTGTCTTGGCTGCCTGAGCTGAATAAGTCAAACTATGCCAGTTGGCTGCACTGCTTTTCTTTCTTTACCCCCCTTTCTTTCTACCTCTCAATTGCTCTTGTTTCCTTCTCCTGTGTATCTAATGCCTTCTCGAACTCTACCCTCATTTACTCCACCTCTGCTTTCTCACTGCAACCCCTGTAAGATCCTATTCTGTCCAGGGCCTTCCTTTCTGCCGCTCTCTTTCTCCGTGTGTCTTGAACCCATTCTTGCAGTCTCTCTCGGTGAAAGAAATTTTACGGGGCTTCCTAAAGGGGAGCGGGGAGAGGAAACTTTTGCAGCACATGCTTGTCAGATGTGGTACAGGGCAAAAAGTCAGTAGTGGCAGAAAAGGAGGAGGAGACACTGGGGCAGAGTGAAGAAGAAAGTGGTTTAAAGTTGACAATGTCAAGTCTACAAAGAGATAGAAAAGAGCAGGGTAAAGGTTGCATATCTGAAGCAAATAAACAACCTTTGTTGACGAGGAGATTACAGAAACTAGGGATTACGTAAGAAAGAAATTAAGAGTGCGACTGCTTCTGCTTTACCCAGAAGCTCTGGATCTCATTACTAGTGCAGTTTGAAATATGTCCTACTTCCACCTCACGTTTTCACAGACAGGAAAACAGCCATCCAGATGTTGATGACCAGGAACAAAGACGACCAAATTATGCCAGTAATAAAAGCCACGGGCTCTACAGTACTAGTGTGCTAAACTAATGGTATGTGTATTAGCTTAGAGCCATTTTTATTGGTTTTTGAATATTTCATATGTGGGTATGAAATTTGTACACAGAGTGTTATATGACACTGTTCTGGACCATAGCTTAAGGCCACCCATCCACGTGTAAATGCAGAAGGAATCGTGCTCACCTCATCTCTTTTCAGCCACGTTAGTATAACATTTGCTGTATCAGTGGGGACATGTTTTCTCAGACTGTCCTGTTCTTCCTCACTTCCCTGGCCCTCCAGCACCACCCTAAGGGCCTCGGTAAGTTGAAGAGCCTTAAGAGCAGAGTCCATTGGTTGGGGGAGGGGCAACTGTGGAGCACACTTTGAAGACTGGTGTTGTTGGCTATTTAACTCCAGAAGAGCATCAAACAGACCTTCACCCATTTTACCTGGGAGGGAAACATTAGATATATATATCATCATTGTATCATTGAACACATTTCTCCCCTCTTATACAGTTCAGTAAAGTAAATAGAGAAAGAGTTTTTTCCCAAGTGGTGTACAGAAAGAGCAGGCAGAGTAATGTCCTCTGGAGGGCACTGTTTAGCTCCAGTATGGTGTGCTGGATGTAAATAGCTTTCATGAAAGCTATTTACATTTTTTTCAAAGCATTTTTTTCTGTGGTCTCTAGAAACCACAAATTAGAGGCTCTGCTTGTTGCAGTAGTTATTGTAATTAGTGTGCTGAAACTTCAGAAAGTAGTTTTCATAATTACAATTTGAAGTTACAACTAAAGGTAAGTAAACACAATATCCATAGTGGGAGCAAAGTGATCTGAAGTTTGTATTGTTTACATTTCATGTATGATGCTTGCATTATGTGCACTGTGTATGATTTTCAGAGGCTAATTATGGAATGTTTTTTCAAGTATTCAATGATCAGGGTATTGCCGCTAATAGCGCTTTGTCTTCTGACCCACTTCTGGAGCACCTTTGTTGTAGTGACAAAGAGCAATGATCAAAATGTGTCATGTCTCCTAGAAAATGCAGCAGGGAGGATTATGTAAAATCAGAGTTTACACAATTTATGGTGAAGTCATCAAAAAGCTAAAAGAGTAAAAAGAAAAATAGTGAATTACTTAAACATTCTATAAAGGCACAGTTTAAACAATACTAAGGAAGGTCTTTCATTTCAGTGTCCAGCTGTGAAATCATGTGACCGCTGGCGCTCGTGGAGAAACTAGCAATTGCAGCTGGGCAGTGTCATTGGACTTTGAAATTTAGAAAAAAAAAAAAACTCTTACCAGCAATAATATTATCCATTTGCTCCAAGGCAGCCTCCAGCATGTGGCTGGCGTGTGACGCCATGGAAACACTCCGTCCTGTAGGGCAGCACGAGAAGATCCACATTCACTGGTGTGAAGCAGAGTGTTAGCTGTAGGAATGTGAGAGATGTTCAGTGGGACAGGGCTACTCCCAGTGCTTGTCGCCTTTAGATCCTTTCACAGGAAAGTTAAATTAGCTATGCTGAAATCTGAGTGACTCCCAAGTAAATAACCTCCTGAGTGTGGCTTTTGGGTTTAAACTCCCCTCTCATTTCGTGACCAGAGTTCCATCCATTGTCAGCTCTGTTATGCACTGAAGACCAAAGCTCACTTTTGGAAGACTTAGCTTCTCTGCCTCCATTGTTTGTTGGTGTTTTTTTCTGTTTTATTTTTGTTTTATCGGCCTACAGAGAAAGTAAGACTGTGAATGAACCTTTGCTGAATAAATTTTTTTGAAAATGAGTAATTATTAATAACTGTTGTGTTAACAGACGTCTGATATAGTGGAGCAGCTAAATGTTGAATACCAAATTTGATTTTCATTAACGCTTAACAAATTATATCATGCCAAACTTAACATCAAGAAACTTGAATTAGCAATGTTCACACCTTTTAAGGTTTAGGAAAACATTTTGAATTATTCCATTCAGTATAACCATTGAAATCTTATGTTGAATCTGACTAATTCTGATACCTGCACGGACACCACAGTGGACATAAGACATGATTAGATCAGTTGAAAAATAAACAAACAAAACCTATCCTGACATCTTTTTTTCATGGTGTGATTAGATGAAAATGGACTGGAATAGTTTTGGTACGGTGAATTAACTTTCATTTGGTAAAAAAAGAAGAAAAATGTTTGGGTTAGGATTAACCCCAAGATAATTATGGCCAGATTCAAGCATATGTGATCATTTGAGGATAACTTCAGAGCCAGGAAACTATTTATTTATTTTAACTTATAGTTATGACATACAGAAAAAAAAAAGCTTGGGATTTTGTCTTATTTTAAATTAGCCTCTTGTATAATTTTCTTAAAATTCAGATGTAAGACTTACGCATTCCAGAGAAAAGGACATTTTCTGTTCCCGTCTTTTTTCACTATCAGGAGTAATATACACAAAAAAATTGAAAGAATATATCATAACTTGCTATCGCACCCTTGGGCTTGCTTCACTCCCTTATTTATCTGTAAGAAGTTGCATAGTGTAAAACAATTCCTTCAAAAGCCTAACCAGTGCTTACATACTGTTTCTCTCATGTTTTGTCATGGCTCCGTAACCATGAATTGTTATTTGCAGAATCACCAACAGGGTGCATCAGTGATCAAGGAAAATAACTGATCTTCATACACTGATCTCATTAGATAACAAAGACATAAGAAGGCTGATTACATATTCAAGAAAGAATGTGTTACAGTTTCTGCAAAAGCCAAGCAAAGAATATGTTTAAATCAATTCAAAATCTCTTGCTGTCATTACCATACAGTGTGAAGGAACCTAAAGTGCTAATATGCAGATAAGAAGTACTGCCCAATCTGTCTAGTGTCTACTCTAATGTCTGGTTTTCATTGATGGATTCATAGAGACAGTGAGGACAATGACCTAAAGATACCACAAATATTTTACCACTTGAGACTAATGATTAATGCTGACACCTACTTCACTGCACAAAAGCCTCATGAACTATGCATGACAGCAATTTATCAAGAAGCTGGACAAAAAGCTTTTCATGCCACATATGAAGGTGCTAAACCAGACTTTAAAAGCATAATAATATGGTAATATTGAAATATAAGGGTGAAAAAATAGACACGGCCCCCACTCAGCCGCACGAGCTCATCAGACTTGAGGGCCAAAGGATGAGATGCATAATCTGCTCAGTTTCCACAGACAGAAGAGTCAGCATCTGACATCCCCAGTGCACAAAGCCCCTAGTGAAATAAGCACAAACATTCTGTGGGTCTTAATGAGGCTTGTAAAACTACATTTGTGCTCTACTGATACTGTATGTGGTCGGTTCTATTTTATCTAACAGTTTATACAGTGCAAATACAGTGCTGCTAGAAAGCTGTGCTATCCTTTCACATATATACAGTATCTGTGACAATATGACAAATAAAATTGTTAAAAATAACAAGTGTATTTTTGATAGAAGTTTTTTTTTATATCTATCGAACTCAGATGTGAGCAAAGGAATACTTGGCCAGAAAAAAAAAATCACCCGTGTTGTGCATTGGAAAGCTCATATGTAATGCAACAAATGGTTAATGGCTTTCTTTAAAAGTCACATGACCATAAACTCTCTAAACTTCATCAGGTCTGAGTAACTGAACCAAATGTTCCAAACATTTAGTAACAGGAGATTTGAAACATTGTCAATTAAATCAAGCAATAACAACTTTGGTCATCAGGTTGTGACTGGGTCTTTGAGAACAAGTTGCAATTATTTAAAAAGGCATGGCATATCAAGGACAACATCCATCTTTGATTTTTTTTGTTTTTATGATATTTAGCTACATTTGTAACAAATTCTGAATATCAGAAAAAGCTATTACATTTGACCAGTTACTAATATTCCACTACATAGTCTTATCAGAGCTATACAAGCAATTTTTCAACAACTTAGAGATAACTCCATTCTGTACTCTAAAGTTTCATCTTATTTTTAGTACCCCTGTACTGCCTCTAAGCCTTCAAACATTACACGGAAAAATTACCCTGAAGATAATCAAACAAGCAGTTGTCAGTGTGTAGGTTTCGCCAAGATGAAGGGAAATGCATTGTTTTAGAGGTCACAGAGATGGAGACACGTATTTTGTCTAATACTTTCAAATATAGATTTAACCTGGATATATTTTAGCAAAATGTTATCATCTGTAGATTGTATCTATGATTAACGTTCACAGAAATTAAAGAAACTTTATAAACTAAATTAAATCTGTTATATGATAGTCTAATACAATCTAATAGTTCTATTGTTTTTGTTCTTCATACATGGTGCCTGAAATTAAATTACACTTAATATCCTGTGACTTGATATGAACTATTGAATTCAAACAATTATGGCCCTTCCATATTTACAGAGGGAATGAAAATAAGACATGATAGAGTCCATTCCATGGCATCATATCCTCTTTAGTCTTTATTTTTGTTTGTTTTGTTACAGGAACATTGGAACCAACATGACTTGGCCAGTACAGAATAATCATGTTGTTGTCTGAGACTGAATGCAACTTCCTAGACACATTTCCTGACATCTTCCTGACACATTTGTAGATGACAGTCTCGCCAGAGTGTAAATAGGTTTTCAGTGAGCTGGATTAATGCTGAATATGCCCCAACTATAGATATGGATTATTACTGTGCTGTGGTGATGTAAGCCGGATCAGCTTTTGTCAAAGTCCACAGTCTCTATTTGACAAAATAATTACACATAAGGATAATTAGCCTGACATTGCACAATATGATACAGAAATTCTAAACACTGATTGTGAATAACATGACATTCCAAATCTCATCATGACATGAGAGACAAAGCAGAAGAGGCTGAAATGTGAAATACTGTCATCTCTATTAAAAACATAATTTTCTAACAATAATTATGATAGAAAATTGACTGTGAAGCCCTGCTCCTATTTTATGGGTGCAGAAAACATGTTTTTATTCAGGTCTTATAGAGAATCAAAGTTGACACTAAAGCTTAGAATTGTCATCCTCTACAAATATAAACAGTTACAATGTTTATCTAATACATTCTCCTAATTGGTGCCATCTACAATTCGTACTGTACGGTTTAGCACAGTTTTGATTTTTGCATCAATAGGTTAAGCTCAGTCTCCACATGTATAATCAGCAAAAGCATTACTCTAGGCAATCACTTGCACTTCAGACAGAATTCAATTGTATGTCACAAGGGAAACAAGTTGATGGAGGGTGGTTTCAGCATATCATAGCTCTTTACCCGTTACAAATTTTTATTAAAATTTGACTCTCACTGTGAAATTCATATCGATAAATCAAAAGAACTTAATGAACCTAATCCCAAACTGAGATCATATCTGAGAGCACAGCCAGGCTTAAAAGCAGATGGTTATTAGGGTAACCAAAGGTGAGACAGATAGTGATGAAGCCACACGGGGAAGACAGGTCTGTGGAATTCAGGGGCAAAGGTGAGACAACAACCAAAAAGAGAAAAAATAAACCCAAAGATCCCATTTTGAATACAGCCAATGATCTTGCATGCCTTTTCCTTTTTCATGCAATCGCTCTTTCCGTAAATCACTGTCTTACAAATATCTTCCTCATTTCCTTTATTGTTACCTAGTAACTTACCAGTCACAACTAAGTCATCCAACCAGGTCTATACAAAAAAGGCAAGAGGGCAAAGGAAGTGATTACATGCACTTCTATTCACACAAGGGCATAACAAACATTTACTCAAACAGGTTTGAGCAGTAGTTGGCGCAGCAGCAGGAATATAAAGGGTTTGAAGGTATAATTGGAAACATGAACCTGTGAACTGGTTCGTATTGTGCTGTTCATGAAAGGCATGTGTTGATAGCTTGGTACTAAGACCAAAGTATAAAGGAAGGAAACCAAAAGATTTATCTTAAGAGTTGATGCTGAGCTGAGGATACGTGAGGCAGAAGTCCTAGACAGAGGTACTTGTGGCACGTTCAAGCTGAAAAGAGCAGACATTAAAAAAGAATGCAATTCTAAGTCCATTTCAAGATGCTGTGACTATCCAACTGAGCAGGGAGATGGTAGCGGCAGAGCAGAGCATTTGGAGGAGGTTTGGGTTTTAGATGTAGTTGCAGCTGCTGAGGCTTGGCAGATGGTCTTGTTGTCACTCACACAGCCATGCACTCACTGAGACACAAAGAGGAAATGACAGAAAGGCTGCAGGAGAGTGAGGTGAAAACTGAGTTCAGGAAATGAATTTGTCTGTACAGATAACACAAAGCATATAGTTTCAGTACGTTAGCTGCATTTCCAAGGAGTGGTATATTTTAGTTGGACACATCTTTCAGGCACTGACTTTGTTCATTTATCGTGGAAAGGACCATTCAACCATGTTGGCAGATGATACATATTTGTACAATACCACAGAATAGTCCATAAATAACAAACCCTCATAAGGTTTAGCAGAGTGAAAACTTGATTTTACTAATGAGCCCTAATAGCAATGAGCCCTGAGGAAATAGTGAAAGGCTGGACATGTGGATGTGTATTTGACCATGCATGTGTCATAGGGAGGGGGCGTTGGAAAATGATTTAATGACTCCCCTGTGATGTTAACTGTAATTTCACTCCTGTTTCACATCCCTAATTTATTAAATGTTTTTATTGATGGCTATCGGCAGTCCAAGCGGCATGTGGCTCGGGTGGGTAGTGAGGCGAAAACCCGGGCGTGGCAGGAGTTTGGGGAGGCCAAAGTACGGCTTCGAGGCAATGGGGGGGGGGGGTGGAGGCAGTGCTCCACCAACACTGTTTGGAACTATTCTGCACCTGATCCAGAGTTGGAAAGTTCATTATGAATTCCTAACATTTTCAACCCAAACAGTATCGACAAGGTGTGTTTCCAAATTTGATATTGCTTTTAAGATCTTTGAAAAGGTTTTCACATTTGCTCTTGTTCCTTGGCTGCTCTTTTTAGAAAGTGATATTGGTCATAACACACTAATGCATGAGAAATTGTTAACAGTCTCTAGAAATTTCTTCTTCACAGAGCTTTAAACTTGTTGTAAAAAAAACGTAAGTAATACTCCAATCATACTGAAGTTATTTGAGTTCATTTTAGTTATTTTACTTTGTGTGTATCAGTTCGTTTTCAGGTAACACAACCATTCACAGCGGAAACTGTGCAATGTTCTGAACACTGAGATTATGTCACACAGTCACTGTCTACTGTATGTGCACCAAATGTCAGAGGTAATTATTTTTCCAAGTAAGGTGCTCTGCAAAAAGAACATACCTCTGTTTCCGTGTTACCATCAGTTTGGCTGAAGCGCAGTGGTACAGCGCAGCTGAAATGTGTCACATACAGTACAGTGCCCACTAAGAAGACCTTAACAAGCAACAAACTTACCTTGGCTTCTGCAATGACAACTAACATCTACGCTCGTCTCTTCTATTTCAAATTGCTTTCAATCACAGTTCACTCACATAGTGAGTTATAATCAGTGTAAAAAAAAGTCAATAGGATAGCAATTTGTTACCAAATGGGAGCAGCTGATGGATACCTGTCACGGGGGCATAGAGAGACCCCTGTTCCTTGACTGCATCATTCATCTGGAGTCTCACGGCTTCAGTCAAACCATCGGAAGTGAGTAGATATCCAATAATCTTACTCTAAAGAGGGTGTTGTTATGATAATTGATTTCACATTAATAAAATGACTTGAGTAAAGGTGTGAAAAAAGTACCGCATGAAAAGTTTGAGTATCCTTTAAGTATCCTTTGTCTTTGGGAACTGTCTTTTAGTGTTTATAAAGCAAGAGCTATAAAATGGTGTTCAGCATCTTCTGGTTCTCATGCTTACTGTTTTACTTCTTTGAAAGCCATGTAGAGTTTTTTGGTATTGACCATCATGTGATGTGTTGATGGTAGCTGTTAATCACTTACCTATTTTTGTTTGTTATTTAGAATATTTTTTTCAAATAGTTTACTTTCGTTTTGGTATTTTATTTCACCATATCACACACTTCTAAGTATGCCATTCAGCAACGTTTTGTTACTTAAATCCCCTTTAACTATCGCACAATTGTCGAAGTGGTGAAAGTTATTAGCTTTTAAGAGTAAACCTATAACCTTCAGTTCACTGTAAGCCTTTTATTTTTTACATCGAACACCAGCTTTTCATAAAATATCTTTTCATGAAATACTGAATTCCTTCACGGCTAGTGTATCATTTCACCAGTCTGAAGTTCTTTAACTTTACCAAATGCAGTCATGCAAAAGCTTGTTCTCTGCTTTTAATCTACACCAGTAAACTATTGAAAGCTCATGCTTTTTAACATGAGGATATCATTTCTAGAATAAATTCCTAGAATTTTTTGTTCTTTTCTTTGGGCTATCGTGGCAATAAAATTACTTGGACATTAGAACTGCATACTATGCATATGCATGTTGCCTGAGGGAAATGGTCTATGCATGTAATGACGGATGAAGGCCTTTTTTCCCTTTTGGAAGGTTTTACAACAATTTTCCATTCATCTTCAGGATCAGCCTCACACCAATTCATAAAGAAAGGAATACAAATGCCTTAATTTTGCAGCAAGGTATGCAGAGAGAAGAGAAGTGGTGGCCAGAGGCCAATTAGATTAATCAAACAAGAGAGGAAAATGGAAATTGAGCTTCAGGTGAGCTCCAGTTTCCAAATCACCCAGTGAGTCAGACAACTTCTTGAATGTAGTTCACTGCTTTCCAGCATGTTCCGTTTGAATGGCAGAAACAGCCTTGCTCTTATTCTTTAATCAGTCATGCAAGTGATGTTTTGATGGACATCTTGGAGTCTTCTTCTGTTCTGTGGGTTATGGAAGTCATGGAAACAGCAAATGCAAATGTACAAAATAATTAAAAGAATTGAGATGCTACTTACAACACAACTGTTTTCATACTTGGAGTGGTTTTGATTATCATTTTTTCACTGTTTTACAATTTTTCTTTTCCTTACGTTATGAAGAAACAAATAAAATAAGTTCCTTTTTACTTCAGTGCAAAATAAATTGGACTGAATTGAACACTTTTTTTATGGATTACTATTTATTTTTAACATTAAACATATTCACTTACATATATTTTGTCTGAAAATGAACTTTCACTGCACATCAACTGACAGAACAGCACATCGTATTGCAAGAATAGAAACAGAAACAAACAGAGGAGAAGATATCCCACCAAACATCATGCACCAACTCACCACCAAATTTTTAAAAAGTACGGCAGCTCCACTGGTTTTAAGTATACTGTGCAAATACACTCACTTCATCAAAACAAGTACCAAGACTAGGTTGAAAAAAATGACCAAACAGTAAAGACTGGGTGAACGCAGGAATGGCACAGACTTAAAATGTCTGCATATGTCCTGCATTTTACTAATTAAACTTATTAAAAAATAGAAAAAAAACATCCATTTTTGCAGTCATTCAACATGCAGCTGATGTATATGAAAACCATTCAAGATGATCTACCCCTCTTTATACCATAGCTGGTAATGGATGTCGTTTTTTTTGTTCAGTTTGATGTTGCTCTTCTTCTTTTTTTCTGGGGAGGCAAGTATTAGCCACACAGAGCAGCACACAGGGTAGGTTTTGGGTTGATTTGTGCTCTTTTTCTAAATGCTGCTCGAGGTCTACGGAGAAGGAGGTGTCTTCAGAGAATTACATGATCCTCCCTGGCTACTTCCTGCTGTCCCCTGGTACTGTGAAAAGAGCAAAGTGGAACAATAGTTAGCAATACGGAGCCGCCATCCCAGAAAAATACAAACAGAGCTATATCATATTATAATACCATATATACTTATTGCTCTAACAATACATTTATCAGGTTTGAACAAAATATTATCACTCATGTCTGAACATTATAATAGCAGGTAATCACAGTAACTTAAAATGTTACAACAAAAGCTTTCTCTGTTATTACAAAAATCTGTTTATGTTTTAGTACCTTGCTAATATGTAATATTGATTTTCAAAAGATGGTAGATGTTAAAAATGTTTTATAATTTAACACAACATAAAACATTGCACATTCCAAAGTGTTTATGCCCTGTAGCAGTGGATAGCCATGGCCTTTCCGCACTTTGGCCAAAAACGTGTTTTTTTATATTAAAAACATTACATCTTAAGAACATGGACAGAGTTTCTGTTCTATCTGATGAACATGCATATGTTTAAAACCGTAATAATAATAATTATATTATATAATTTAATGATATATGTTTTGATAATGTGTTATATCAGACAAACATAAACAGTTATGATGCTATAGCAATAAATACATGACATCGCAATGAGATAGAGCTCTATTTTTCTTTTGGGTGGTTGCTTTCTATTGCAGTACATTTTGTATATGCCTATGTAAATTAATTCCAGCATAGCAAATTAAAATTGTGGGATTTCATTTTTATACATCTCTCATCTCTTCAAGCCTACATTTGTAACAAATGGAAGAAAGGACATTATTTCTAAACCAAAGACCTCAGCTTTTTAAGGCTTATTTTAGATGCAAATGTATTAACGTGCCTGCTTTTGAATTCATTATAGAAGTACTGTCTCAGTTTGGTTTATGATTAGTGTTAGGAGAAAGTACCACAGAAGATCAATTAAATTATTTCAAAGTAGAAAACATAATTTCTTCAAGGGGTACTTTAAGTCCTGTTGCCTGGAAACAAATTAATCTGTCTTTCTATCTACCTACGGAATTCAATCTCAATACTCCCTGAAAATATTTATAATTTCAAAATAAATAATTTTAGGTTCCTACAATTTGCCATATCGATCCATCTTATAGCCGTGTCTATATTATCCCCTTATAGTTTCCTACAACATTACATTAAAAAACAGAATCTCAAACTGAGATTGAATGATCTAACACACCAAGACAAGGAGCCTTTCCAATCTGGGGAACTGTCAAATGTTACGATAACTGGAACTTAGAACTGTCCATTAGGTTTTTTTTCTTTTTTTTTACAGTAGGCAATGTTCATTGCCATGGTAACAGCAGTGGAAGAGTTGATCTAGTCCAAAGCAGTTACAGCTCAGCCATCAAAACCAGACATGCAAGTTTAGATAAAATCTCTGGAATTTTTGGAGAGAAACACTTATTGAGGATTAATGTAGACATGAAAATAAGAGCCTCTCAACCTTATTGTTCTTTTTAAATTCTGAAAAAGATATATCACCCATGAAATGATTAGCCACAACATTAAAACCACTGACAACTTAGAATTGCTCATCTTCACATCATGCATTTTTCTGCTTGTTTTTAACTTGGCTGTTAAACCATCACTTCAACCCAAACATGTTTCTGCTTACTTCTAAGTGATAACAGCACTCCCTTACAGTAGCAGGATAATGATGGGCTGCACTAAGTCTGCATCGGACAGGCTCAATAAACAACACATTGACAAGGGATGTAAGATACAGGCAGGTAACATTTATGTCCCATTCAGTTATGTGTAGGAAGGATTGCGTCAGGTATAAGTTCTAAAGTCAGTGTCTTCACAAACACAATAGGAGTGTCCAGACTGATAAATTGGTGATGTCTAACCCATTTAACCCATTGCCATGGTGAGCAACAAAAGGAGGTAGAAGTGGCAGGTGTGTCCATGACAGCAGAATAAAGAAGAAGGAAAAAACGAAGACCTAAAAATACCACAGCAAGGTGGTTCAACAAAGGTTGAAAAGATGTGAGTAGTCAAGGCACTTGGGGCTGTGCGCCCCCGAGTCGGACAAGGCTCCAACAAATCAGACATCTCCATTTAGAAAAATTCCAATGTAGGAATGGATGTGTACAACTGCACAGGCTAATAAAATTTTCACAAAACAAGATTGAGCTTAATTTAAATATTCCTTCTGTTTATAGTATTTTAAAGGAATAGTTAAATATAGTGGAAATCCTGCATAATGATCAAACAGCTGCACAAACAGCTGCACTTTCAAGTATTATTATCTTGAGAGCATGTAGTAAAAGCAGCAGGAAAAGATAATCTGCAGGATACTCCACACTCCAGCTTTGTAACGATGTGCTGCTTTGACTGCAAATACCTTTTAGTTTAAAAAAACAAAACTATGTTCATGTGTAAAATCACCCAACTCTCCATGCATGGAAACACAAGTCACATCCATTACAGTAAGATCAACTCACCTCAACGAGGGGATGCCAGTGGGCAACAGGTTTTCGGGGATAAGTGAGCATTTCATTCCAGTGTTCTCGACCAAGACTGTCCGCATCGTTGCCAACTCGACACACACCGATGATTTCATTATGGCCTACACTGTAGACACAGGAAAAGAGAGAACAATGTGATCACTGCCTGCATTTCATTCTAAAAGTAATACATTACACACTGAATTCGAAAGAAAAAGGACAATAAATTATTGTATTTAATCATTTTGGCCCTGCAGCAAATACGAAAAAGAAATTATTTATGCAAAATAGGTTCCATATTTGTGAAACTTATGTAAAGTTTCTAACCGATCATAATCCATCACTGCTATCATTAGGCTTATTTGTTCTATGTTTTCGGGAGGGACATCAAAGACAATGGCCTCATTATAAACTGGATTCAAAGTGTTCCTCTTTGTCGATGTCTTCCTCTTCTTCAGCCTGCGACCCTCACACATCAGCGAAACCTTCACGTAAGGATCTGTGAGAGCCAGAGAAACAAGAGCTGAAGTATTAATTTGCATCCGGGATAAATGTGGGAAATTGTTGATACAGACAGTGTTAGTATTAGATTACCAGATGCCCCAGTGATATCCATAGCCTTAAGGTTGCGGGCCTTTATCATGGTAATGGTCAACCTGCCCGCAGTTGGCAAGTAACAGAGGGAAAACATAAGATCGCCAAGGTCCACGTTGTCCTGAAAGACATCACAAGCATATGTATTCTCCCTTAAGCTTCATCTAGATGACATATTTCTTATTTTAGCACACCAGCAAAAGGTGAAAGCACAGCTTGAACATTTGACATTTATTTTCAGAGTTTAGATGAGTTATTTCACAGAGGAATCCTCCACTGCTCCACTCACCATCTAAAGCCTCCAATTTTCCAGCCAACATAGAGCATCCTGTACTGCTCAGCTAACTTATCACCTGCGCTTAAAATAACTCCACCACAGAAGTGAGAACCAGGAAAGCACACAAACGTGCATGGTGGAGACAATTCCCGGGGTGTAATCTCACACTGATCGCCTGTGTGTTTGGGTGATCGTGTTTGTATTTTTAACTAGGCAATCTTCTACCATCAAATTGTGATGCGCTCATTTGCAAAGCAAAACTGTAGAGAATGTTATGCTTGTAATTATAAATCATGCGTGGCTTTTCTTGTCCACAGCATGAAGTGGAATGGTTTAACGATAAAGAAAAATACCCTAACTTTCTGGGCCACATAATTGAGGCACATTCAAATTATAAAACACTCACATTGGCGCAATACACAAAATATTCTGTCGACTCAATGATTTGGAATATCACAACGTGTTAATGGCTCCAAAAATACTCCACATCCCTGATTTCTTTTGCAAATTATAAAATGTGCATTTACACATATTCATATTGCATTCACACCAGAAACTGTCATTAAGGAGGGGCAAATTTAACCCTCCTGTTATGTTGCGGGTCAAATTGACCCGTTTTAAAGTTTGAAGATCTGGGAAAAATAGTTAAAAGTTTTTTTTTCAGTATGAAACTTCTTCTGCTTGCCTTAAATAGTGTAATCAACATATAATCTGAAAATGGTTCATCTCACATATTTGCAACCACCCCCTGCATGTTTATATCACATAGATACTGTTCGGGTCAATTTGACCCAGCAGTCAAACTGGAGGTAAAATGGTGTCAGAAATGTCAGACTATTTCTTTCTTTGCAACTGTGAGACATGTTTAACCCCAATCTCACACTCACACACACACACACACACACACACACACACACACACACACACACACACACACACGCACACACACAGAGGAGGATGTGTCTGAAGATGAACACTATCTTGAGCTAAATTCTGATTCTAATGATTCTGATTTTGAACCAGATGATGGAATTGCTATTCCTATTTCTCCAAGCATGACATTCATGTAAACAAATGGTGAAATACAGTGGTCTTCATCCCCAAATATGCGTCAGGCAAAACTGTCTGCAGAAAACATGATAAAGACAATGCCAGGGCCCACTAGGATGGCAGTGACTCGTGTGAGTGACATCAAGTCAGCTTTTGAGCTGGTCATGCTAGATTCAATACAGAAAATCATTTTGGAACTGACTAATCTTGAAGGGAGGCGTGTTTTTGGGGAGAAGTGGAAGGAGCTGGACAAAACGCGTTTAGATGCGTATTTGGGGCTCCGCGTCCTGGCTGGGGTCTATAAGTCAAAGGATGAATCGACAGCCAGTCTGTGGGATGCAGAAACAGGCAGGGCTATATTTTGAGCCACAATGTTTCTGGAGACATTTCACATTTTCTCCAAAGTAATCCGATTTGATAATCAAGAGACAAGGGCTGGTAGACGGGAGAGAGACAAGCTGGAAGCTATTTGGACGGTTTGGGACAAGTGGGTAGAGCAACTTCCACTACTCTATAACCCAGGCCCTAATGTCACAGTGGATGAAAGGCTGGTGGCATTCAGAGGTCGCTGCCCATTTAGGCAATACATGCCTTCCGAACCAGCTAAATATCGGATAAAAATCTGGGCAGCATGTGATGCAAACACCAGCTATGCATTGAACATGCAGGTTTAAACTGGATGGCCGGTTGGAGGAGCCCCAGAGAAGAATCAGGGCACAAGGGTCGTGCTTGACATGGCACAGGGTCTCAGAGGACAGAACATAACCTGTGACAATTTTTTCACAAACTACAACTTAGGTCAGGAGCTTCTAAAGAGAAAGCTCACAATTGTCGGAACTGTCCGAAAGAACAGGGCTGAACTCCCTGCTGAGCTGCTGGTAATCAAGGACAAGGCCCCTCAATCTTAAATTAAGTTTCAATGTTGTGTAAAACTATTGTGTTTTATGTGTTGGTCTTTCAAAAGTAATAAGAAGGTGAAACATTAAAAAAAAGTTTGAACATGCAGGTTTTGAAAAAAAAAACGAATGAATTATCACAATTGGATCATTACCTGTTAGAGGTAAGGAACACCATTGCACTAAATATTGATAGAATAGTTAGTAATGGAGTTTGTGATGAAATATTAACAATGCTTGTTAGGATTTTTTTGGTTTCAGACATCTTTTGGATAATCAAACATGCACCGGGTCAATTTGACCCAGGAACAGCATTGCTGTTCCTAAAAAATGAACATAACAGGAGGGTTAAGTCCAACCCAGTACTGTTAAATAATTTTTCACCCAGATCCCTGACAGATACCACTGATAGAAAAAGTCATAAATGTAATTGCATGAAAAAATAACACGGTGATAGTAAAAGTAATTCAATGATGTTGAGTTTTTAGCATGTAAACAGGTGTATCTATCTGATTTTCTTTGTTCATGTGACACAGTGATGGACTCTGGATTTGCCTTTGACCCAATAATTCGCAAAACTAGTTATCTCATCTCGTTATCAACAGGTTCACTTTCTAAGTGGAATCGCACTTAGTAGGAAGAACTTCCTGGCAAAATACCCACTCACTTTGACATAAAAACAAACTGAAACAGGTTATATCATATTAAACAATTTTCTACCCATAAAGTACAGATATGTATTCTGATTTTGTAGTGTGATTTGAGTTAATGGTGGCATTTTAGTTTAGTTTGCAGCTCAAAAACATATTTTAGCATGCAGAGCTCCTTTAAATACAATCTTTCCATACCCTGCATGTTCCTGCGAAAACATTATGACGTGATAAGGTGGGAGTGACACCAGGCTCTGCTGGCTGAGAAACACTGATATTTAAATTACTCTCACAGATAGATGTTGAGGGTAGAATTATCTCTGCTTTCTAGAAATATAAGAATGTTTACTTTGATAACAGTGCTTTAGTGTATGAAAAAATAAGTACCGGTAATCGAGGAAAAAAAAGAAATGAGGAAAATGTCAGGAATTTTAATCCTGGGAACGAAAAATATTCAAAAATATGTTTGCCTCATTCACGATGAGGCAATAAACCTGGTAACACATGTCTTTTCAATATGTACATCAACTGACAAACCCCCAAGAACATTTGATCCGTGTTCAACAGAGATCCTGTGGGCTTGAATGTGTCAATTTCATACTTGTGCATAACACAAATGCAAAACTTTGTCTAAATATATTAACTAAATAAACGTAATGTTTTTTCTTCTTTATCACTATCGAAAGACAGTTCCAGAAACAGTCAGTTTTAACCGTAGAACTCAAAAGCCAAATCTGAAACAGAAACCAACAATATGGTCAGTCCCTCCAGTAATAAGTATTAATGAAAACTCAATCCCCTCCATCAAATGGGTTCTGCTGGAATGCTTGCAAAATGTTATGTCTCTGTAATGTTGTCCAGTTTAATATGAGCAACTTCTTGAAGGGCATCAACACAAGTGTCTGAGAACAAGTACTTGTCTGGGTCTTACAGTTGAGTGTGTACTGTAAATGTGTTTGTATGATCAAGCGGAGGACTGTGAAAAAAAAAAAACTGCGTGAGAGTGGAGCATCCTAGATTCTGTGATTCACTGGTTCTCATCAGCCACCTGTCTCATATCCTCTGCTCTAAATGAGTAACATTGATTAAGAATTAATCAGGACCATAAGTGTCAGCACTGATCTACAAAGTAACGTAAGTTGGGAGTTTATACCAAAATATCGATATCGTTGTCAATATTCTCTTGAAGTCTCAATCTGGCACACTGACAGAATAGATATCTCCACTCCTTATTTTCCCAGTAGCTCCTGCTAAATCACTTCTCTCGCCTTTTGACATTACTATCAGACTAGAACCACTAGTCCCAATCAATAGGTATCAGGCTGGTTTTAACAATGCTTTGCAATGCAGCAGTTCATACAGTACTATTTTTAGAAGACATCTTTAAGAAATGCTCATTGAATCTTTCAGCTTACTGTTATATGTTGATAAATATTTTAGTTGTTCACGTTTGGTGTAATAGACTTGAGGCAAATGTATTAGTTATATCCACACAGAACCCTCTTAAAATTTGTATTACCTTGAAAGTAGGGCACAGCTCTTTGTTAAGATTGCTGATTACGTATAGCAATTACAACAACTCAAACACTCACTTTTCGTTATTCATTGTTGGCAGTGCGGAAAAGCCACTGAAGGCAATTTCACTTTTTAAAACAATCATGAGTAAGATGAGGACTGAACACACTGCTGCTGAGCCTCGGGTTGACAAGAAAGGCAAGCAGTAACATGCACTTGAATATCCCAGGTAGGAGTATCATTGGGCAGGTCAAGAGAAGAGGAATTATCTGATATCTTTTCTGACAGTGGAAGTGATGAAAGGCCCTCCAGGCAAATGTCTGGGGGGGGTCGAGAAACAGGTCAAAGGAGGATTTAGATGGAGAAAGTGACCAGATGAGCACTGAGATAAGTTACATTGACCAGGGTCGACATTGAATAAGACCCAGTGGTACCAGAGGGATCTGGAAAGACGACAAACCTGGGAAATGTGTGAGATGCATCACACCCCAGACACATAACAGGGCCACCACTAGACATTTACAGTTATTCCTCACATTCAGACATTTTCACCACGGTATTCTCAATCCAATTTATTATCTATTTGTTGTCATTCTTTCAGTATTACTTAAAGAGGAAAAATAAGCACTCAATCAATTGTATTCCAATCTATCCATTACCTAAAAAACTATACCCTGCCTGCCCACCCAAAAAGTTCACCTAATGTCAGACACAACATACTGATAAGCTGTAACGTCTATTTTTGGGGGGGTTTTGTATCTTACCGCAAATACTGAAAGACACTCACTGTACACATATCAGCAATATCCCTGGATGTTTGGTTTAGAAAGTCTATTGGTAAAATACTTTTCAGAGGCAGGGGATTATAGACAGGAAACAGACATGCAGGACATGTGATGTGTGGAAACACACAATATGACTAATGAAGAGGGACATAGTGTGGCTCACACAGTAAATTTGTTAAACTTGTATGAAGCCATAAAAGTATAACTGTCCGTGTTTTCCAAATGTCTCACTTTTAAGGTCTAAAATTAAAACTGAATCTAACAAAAATAGTCCTTATTTGGCTTCTTTTGATTTTTCACTTCCTCTTTTCTTCATATAAAACTTCCTATCTTAAGTTTAGTCAATACTAGAATATTACAAACATCATCATTTCAGGTGGCAATGGTGAGACGATATGCTTGTTTGTCTGTTTTTATGCTTGTTGCTACATGACATTTAAACTCAGACAACTGAGACAAAGTGAAGTCATGATATGTAAAAGAAACTTTTACATATCATCTACAACTTTTTTTCTAAACTGATTGCTGAAGCTGAACTGAAGCTCATTGACAAAAACAAATAAATACACAAAATTGTTCTTCCTTCTCTCTCCATAAGATTGTGTATCACTTCCCTCAAAATCACAGGCACAAATATGTATTGTAGGAAATGACTCACCGAGGAGACATATTGGACGTCTCGGCAGAGCTTTGTCTCCCTGGGAAAATCTGCCAGATCCAAGAAATTGTCCACCACCACTTGACCAATAATGTCATGGCGTGAAAACCGGTCGAAGTCGTAGACGCTGAAGTGCAGCTTACGCGTTGGAAGCTCGGAGTATGCCACAGGAAACAGGAAGACTTCATCAAAGATGGGGTTGAGTGTTTTACGGTGCACCTTGGTCTGGTGCTTGGTCTTACGGTCAGGCAGCAGGTAGATCTTCACATAAGGGTCAGAGGTTCCAGAGAAGTCCTTGGCTGGGAGGTCCTCTGCTTTGTGTATTTTAACTATCAACTGTTCCAGGTCACAGTCAAATTTCAGTATGAAGTGGAGGCGCCCAGAGCCCCCTCCTCTGCGACTGCCCTCCTCTCCCTCAAGGGAGCGCTGCTTGTACAGCTCGGGTTTGAGGCGGCCAAGGCCCAAACCCATTCCTGTCAGGGAGTCCTGCCTTTGAAACTGTGCCACATTGAAGTCTGGGTTTGAGAGGTTCATGTGTCGGCGAATGGACCCTTGACTGTTGACAAAGGACACAAAATCACACATACTGTAGTTAACATCAAATTATCTACGAATTATAGAATACAATAGAACCTTTTGCTGTATATTTCAGGATTTTATCCACAATCTATCATTCTGGACATCACAATTCATGTCTTAAGATGAAGTTGCCTTCCATGGCAGAAGACAATGTAGCCAAGACGGAATAAAAGAGTTTGATATTAACTGTTGATAAATGATGCCCTAAGATTGTGTTGAGAGGCAAATGTAAGAGCTACGAGCAATAGAAATGAATAGAAATAAATACACGAGAGAGAAAAAGTAAGGACAATTAATAAGTAAAAGGTATACAAGTTATGATGGAAACCAACAAAAAGCTTATACTGACCTGATTTCAGACACTGGGCATCCACCTGGTGCAGGCTCTGTGGTCTGCCTCTGCATACGAGGATTAGTATGAACCCCGTTTTCCCGACTTTTATTTTGGGCGTCCAGCGGTATGTCTGGAGACGTGTGGCTTATCTTCATAGCTGCCTCTGGTGTGGCCATAACCACAGGTGGAGGTGATACGGGAGTCACCGGGACCTCGACTGATACGACAGACGCCACGGGCGTTGGCTCTTTGGCGACTGAACAATGTGATGACTTACGGCGGTTGTGTGCGGGGGGATCCACGGCCGCGTAAACAGGCTGTCTGGGGGCGGACTGTGAGGGCAGAGGGCTCATGGTGGGGTTTATGTGCCCATGGGCCTCTTTGGTGGAGGGAGAAAGTCCACGCTCCCTCCATGGTATCCAGCAGAGTTTCCAGGAGACGAAGAGGGAGACCCCAAACAGCGCCAAGCCGCAGGCAGTCACTACCAGTGACAGCAGACTTATAGATATGTCTGAGAGGGGAAAGAGAGAAGTGAAATCAGGACCATACAACGAGTTGAGTTGAAGTTTAGCTGTGTTGTGAAGCTGGACCACTAAAATGTTTCGGAATCAAGTAGAGTTTGAGCAGTATGCAAGCAGTCATAGGAATGCCAACATACCATCCAGGACCCTGAAACTCTCATCAAACCCATGTCGAAAATGCCAAAAAATGTAGTTTGTAACACTGTGAAGGAGCTGAGCTGTTATTTTGCATGTAAGGTTTATTTCTTTAAAGTTCTGGACAAGCAGAGGCTACCGCTGGACAATAAGGATTTCAAGGAAAAAACTGCAACCGACTGTTTCACACAATACAATAAGACACAGAATCTAGTAGCAGCAGTTTAACCAGAGATCTACATCAGAAATGTTAGTTAATACACATGTGGGCAGAAGCAAACACAGTCACTGGAGGAGCATAAAAGTTTTCCCTGCCTTAGTCTGTCAAGTTTTCAGTTTCAGATAGTGACTCTGTATATTCCCACAGCGCATGTCTTTACACCAACACAGGACATGCTTAACCGACCTATCAGCAACTCTGAATCATCTCTGCATCAAGACAAGTGACTTGCCTTGATAGTCTTTATTCAAATAAGATCCGCTGCTGTATCAGTATCAGTCATTTATCCTGCAGTCTAGTCAATAGCTCTATGTAAATACTTTAAAAGTGAATTCATATTTATAATGCAGATGGTGTTACTATAATTTTAAATCAAAACCTGTTCCATAGTTGATGTTTATATCCATGTACTTATGTTAGATGTCCAAGATTGCATCAGTCCGTGAGATTCTCAAATGAAAATAACTTTTATAACAGCCATTGGAAATTATTCTCTGACCTGTCTGATGAAGGCCTGTTGTGTTCAAGGACAAGTTGGCAAATACATTAAAACTGTAATGCACTTTTAATGCCCTACATTTGGGGATTTCAGTCTTTAGTTTTCATAGATTGATGTATGCTGTAGAGGTGGGTTCATAAAAAAATTAAGCTTTTTGTCTTAAGACACTTGTCTAATTTCTTAATTAAAAAGGAAGTTTAAAACGGAAATTAATGTTCATATTTGTAACTTAATATTTGTACTCAAGGTCATATTTGCATGCATTGATTGCTTACTAACTTATAGGCAAATGGAATCATAAGGCTTGGAAAAATTCACTTCAGCCTGAGGCTGATCAGAGGTTTTCTGCCTCTGTTCAGCCTCCGGCTGTACACCTGAGCCTTCCCTCTCAGCCACAGTGCAGTTAGTGCAGTCCCCAGTGTCAGTGTGATTTGTCCTGATCCGCCACTGTCAAATGTCCCTGGTGAAAGTACACAACCATCTGGCTGCCCCTTCTCCCGTGAGCTTTGAATTCAGCCACCTGGTTCTTAATCACACCTGTGAACCTGTTCCCACTATCCCTTTTATGCACCATGCTTTATGATGTACATTAATTTGCTTTGTGGGATCGCTGATGCAGATTTATTCTGTAATCATGTGCTGACTGTATTCCAAGCTATCATCGTATTGTTGCTCTGTTCCCCATCAGGAAGTATTTCTCGAATATATTGTCTCTGTGTACATATATGCAGAAATTACTGATGACTATTTACCAGGAATGTAACATTGGAAAACATTTCATTATAGAAAACAATGATCACATTTTAGTAATATGATTTCATAATTGAGCAGAATTTAAAATGGCCTCAGACTTTTAGATTTAATTAATTCCTGTCATATTTCACAATGAGACGTTGTACTTGTAAATAATTGATGCATACCGATTCACAGTAAAACAAAATAAAAACATTTCTGTGACAAAATGTCCATCTCACACTTGTGTTTCTACGTGATGCCAATATCAAGCTGCCTTTATTAAATATAGCCATTGTTTTGTCTTCTTGGCCCAAGGAGCTCTTTGAGAGTAAATGATTCCCTTACAGAATATTACAAGATTCTTTTACAGTCTAAGAGTCCACACAGTTTAAACTTTGAAAAGTTGTATTTGATATCTGTGTAGATTCTTAATTAACTGTTTCATTTGTTGAAAAACAGATTTCTCACACAGAGAAATTTTTTTCCAACAAGTAAGTAAAATCATTGTACACTGTTATATTTTGTTGAAAATTATGTTGGAAAGGTATAGCACATTTCTCTGAAGAGCCTTTCAGATTGAAAATATCTAAAAACAATCTCTATTTATTTTTCCTGGTAATTATTGATTCTGTGTTCTAGTTAATGTAACCGGTGCTCTAAATCAAGCAGTTTTGCCAAGTGCAAGACTGGCTCTGTGCGGGGGTGACACTGTCATATTAGTTAGAACAGGAACTCAGACCAACTGTCCTCTCTGGGCTGTGAGAATTCTGTGAATAATGAAGAATGTGTGATTTGGGAGAATTCTGTGGAGGAACTGGAAGATTTGCCATCTGAGGACACTGAGCCCACAGTCAGCTTGGCAGGCTGCCCCAGTTCTGCCTGATGGATAAGAGTCTATAGACGTTTGTGGGGATTCAGGGACTGCATCAGAGCCATGAGGGTGGATCAGATTTAGAGCACAGGACCTTAAAAGGTGTAACAGTGTAGGAGGTGAAGAAGTACTGAACAAGCAATGTGCAACTTCTATACATAACTCTGTGGATAACAAACTGTGATGAATCTCATGACTTTGTTTCGATGTAAAACAGTGATTTCTTTAATGCAACCTGCTTTAAGCTTGATTCGATCCAGCCATAGCTTAAGGCCATCCATGCCACTTACACTTACACTGCTCAGACTAGCTTTTTATTTGTTCTGGTTTACCAAGGTGAACAGATGCATGGATAACCGCCAAGCGTGGAAATTCCATCACTTTTGTCACGGATAGTAAAAGATGACAGTAACACACCTTCAGGCTGAATTTCAGCTGCATCCGAAGAAATGCTGGTCATTGAAAAATATCAAATTCTTTACTCATAAATAAGTAGGACACTATGTAGCCATTCAGCCATTTTGATATGCTGCTCCAACTTACATATGAAATTTCCTATCCACCATAAAGACCATTTCATCTCATTGGAGTACACAGAGAAATGTCCCCCTGGGGATGAATAAGGAAATCTATCTATCTACTGAATGGACATGACACATTATCTTTAATGTATTGCTGTCAAAGAATGGAGCTAATTGAACGTAGTCATTCCATCATCTTAATATTTAGATTTCCTTACCTATATGTACTACCAGGTGAGCTAATGAGACTTTGCACATGCCTCAACAGTAAAACAGTGGTCTCTGTTTGTTCCTGCGAGACAGAATCTGATAAATATAGAGTAAAACATGTATGGAATGATGTTATACTCAGTATTCTTCAGTTGTAAGCTTAACTTTGCTAACTACTTGAAAACTGATTTTAAACATCTCCATTGCTAACCCCATTGCCTACCCCACAACAACCCTTTTCAAACTGTCAGAACAGTGAAAAACACATAAATAAATACATAATAGAGCGGGGGAGAGGTAGGGGTATTAGGGAATAGAGGAAATAGGAAGGAAAGGGATGAAGGAAAATGATGCAGAGTGACAGCAAAGAGAAATGGGTTCACAAAGGACGTCAACTGGTGACTAATCCTTTATCATAATTAACCTACCAAAGACGGAATAGCTGAAAGGAATGCAAGAACTATGCTATATTGCAGGCTTGCTGCTCATACGCGCCTCCATAGTCAAGTCAGTCAGGAGGGGGTTGAGTTGGAGTGCTGGTTGAGATGAAACGTGATGCTGTTCTCAGTAGCTCCTTACATGTGATTCAGTTTTAGCTTTGGTCACACTATCACAAAAAATGAAAATAAAAAAAATACTGACCCTAAGTTTTAGGTCAGAAAACATTTAAATAAGTTGTGAACTTTTAAAAGTGACGAACTCACCAGTATGAACCCCGACAGGAACTAATAGAGCTCACATAGGCAACATGTCCAACACAAAATATCTCACCAGATGGGTGCTTGCCAAGAATTGCTTCATAGATTCAAACGCATATACACGTCTGAACGTGAAAGGGAAATATCCCTGAAAAGATGCAAACGTTCTACCATGCTGGAGAACAGGTGCGTAACTGGGACCGGTAAGGCAGATGTTAGGCACTGTGACAAAAACTGGACCACCTTCTGATGTTTTGGGCATCTAGTTTTAAAGGGTGGTCACATGCGCGACCACTCTGGCGGAATCAAGCGTGCGTACGATGGCTCACCTGAGTCCGAATAGCGTGGCCTGGCGAGATCTCGGAAATAGTAAATGAAATCCAGACAGTTTTCGTTCTGAACTTCCCCTTTCGAGCAAAGATCGGACAGGAGTTCAAGTGCTTTTTGACAAATCTCGTCATCTCTATCTCCAGGCATTTCCCACCAGCATCCTTAGAAATGGAGGGTCTCGTCGGCACCTATTCTACGCTGGTCAGAAAAGGCTTCTGAAGTCAGCCACTCATCCAGCGACACGCCTTCCCACACGATGGAATCGGTGCTGGGTTTAGAAAAAAAAAAAAAAAGAAGAAGTAGAGAAGAAAAAAAACACTAGTCCAAGTGATCCAGAAAGCAGACGGTCAATCCACATGTGGAGCCGGCAGGGCAGTTTTTTATGTAAGGCTGAGAGAAACGGTCCTCTCGCTCCGCTGCGCTGCTCGAAGCCACCGGTTGAATCCGCGCACCGCCTCTGCGGCGCTGTCCAAGGTGCTGAAATCTGAGCGCCAACTCTCTTTTCGCCGTAAACCTGATCAACGTGCGAACATCCGTCCTCGATCCGTTTTATTTGCGCCTCAAAGCAATTGGCAACCTCCGGAAAAGTTCAGCAGAACGTGTAAAACAGCTGGATTTGTGAGCTTCAATATACCTGTAGCAAAGCTCTCGATTACTCCACTGTTCCGAAAAGCCTGGTGTGGTTTTACGTTCCTGCACACAGCCAATCAGAGGATGCCATATTCTCTCATCCCTCTCTCTCTCTCTCTCTGTATCTCTCTCTGTATCTCTCCCTCTCCCTCTGTATCTCTCTCTCTCTTACTCACTCACTCTGTCATTTGTGAAATCGTTTAACTCTTTAAGATATTAGAGGATTATCCATCAACACTCACATGATGTTTCACACTGATGTTGGTAGAATCCAACCATCGGAACTCCATTGCCCATGCAAGATTGCATGTCACTTATGACATGAATTATGTGGGGGGTTTTTACGTGGTTTTCCCATCGTTGCTGCAGAGGCATGTGTTTTCTCATTGGACAAAACGCGTCCCGAAAGAGGAAGTGTTTATTAATCACCCTGGCTTTATTATTTCAAATTATTGCGGAAGTAAATGGGCCATAATTATAATCAACCAGCTGCAATTTCCCATATGTCCCCTGGGACAATCAATGGCAATATATATGCTAGTGTATTGTTGTGCTGCCACTCCTGGTGGGCATTTACTTAACTGATTCGTCATCCTGAGAGCAAACAGTCAATTCACCAATTCGTTTCAATGACTTACAAGCCCACTAATCATAGCATGTAAGTGTTGGGTGGGTCATTACTCCAGAATAGAGAAACTAAGCGTGATTGTCTCTGAAAGACCTGTGGTATACTGCTGGTCATTTAAGGAAAAATGTAATCATGATTTATATATGTGATCTTTTGGTGGAAAGGCAACGTTAGGAAATCAAAAGTAAAATTACTTTTCTGTGACCAGCATTGTTTCATTCTTTAACATGTGGATGGTTGATTCGTTATTTGTTTCTGTCCACTTCACAAATATATTCACATTTTGTATTTGAATAAGATTTTTTTTTATGATTGCTGATTCTGACCACAATTGGTGACACTTTGCTTTGAAAGAACCTCAAAACAAATCTGTAATTTGAGCCATTGCCAATCACAATTTTTGAGTAAAGGGAATTGTGACCCTATGGAAATTTCTATGAGTGTTGTCAAGCTCCAAATCACACACACATGCACATATTTGGATTTAAGCACTTTCATGTATAAATGATTTGCGTGATGAATTTGACCTAGGGTTATTAACATCCTTATTGATGTCATAAAAATGGGTTATTACCCAGGTTAAGAGGATATAAAAAGAGAGATTTGCACAATATTGTATATATCAAGTGTAATTGAGTTTTCCCATTTCAACATTGGGGTGTGAGATTTAAAATATTTGTGAATAACTTCAGATTTTTCTATTAGTTCAGTAGGAATTTGCTCAGTATTCGGGCACACCATGCCCATAAACATGCTGCACTATGCATTGCATAGTCTATTGTTGCTCTTGATATTCAATTAGCTCTTTTTCAATCAGCTAAAGAGGTGGAAGCTCTGTGAGCAGCGAGGTGATGATGTTTATAATGGTATAATGGGTGATTAATCCATAAAAAATGCTGAAATTGCAGAATCAGTTTTCTTTGTGTCCATGGCAACTGTAAAATACAGAAGGCACTCATCACCCATTTTCTTCTCTTCAAGTTTTTCAGTTGGCTTCCCTCCTCCACACTACCATTAACATTATGTTGTTTTACTCCCCTCCTCTCTATTATTATTATTCCCCTATTGACTTCTTGATTTTTTTTTAATCATAAACCACTTCCAATTCTGTGGGCTTTTTTGCTTCTCTATATTTCTCTCTTTTCATCTCAGACTCATTATTCAGTTCACAAACTGAAACTAGATGGGCAGGAGACAGCAGGGCAAAAGAACAAATATTGGCACTTTTAACTCTTGACTGTTCCCTGCCCATCTAATTAGCTATCAAATAATTGCAGTTACTAAGTTACTTTTGCTAAAGAATATAAAAAAGAGGATGTGATCTTGATCAAATGTAAAACAGAATTTAGGTTTCCTTCTGAATTTTTGTCACATACAAAGTTAATGCATGACACATATGGTGAGAAATAAAAAATCAGAACAAGCAAGTCAACAATTCACTCATGAGTTAATTTATGCCTTTATTCCATATTGGATTACTTTTGTCCATTGAACTACAACATTTACGAAAGAACAAAAGAATATCTTTCTTCAAAATGAGACATGCCCTTTATCTGTATTTGAATAAAGAGTTCAGTTATTATCTACTAATCAAAATGTAGAGTTGTCATCTGTTAATCAACACGTGGGAGTATTTCTCTCAGACTTGCAGTGTGACTAAGTATGAGTGGGAAAGGTAGGTAGATTGATTGAGTGACTTTGCATATGTATGGGAAAATCACATTACAAGATTGCAAAAAACAAGAGAATATACATAAGGAGGACAGAATGAGGTTCCAGCACTTAACCCAGCAGGAGACTAGTGATTAGGGGTGCCTTTCATTCCACATCGCTGTTCAGAAGTAACAAGTGATTTTTTTTTGCTTTTATAATTAAGTGAATTGAAATGCATTCGCTTTTGTGTTTACTTTGAGTTTTTAGCTTTATGGATCTCTTTTTAGGTGCACAACATTTTCATTCCATGCATCCTGGATTAAGAAGTGCCTGCCTCTGGCTTTTCAGTACAGTTCACCATTTTAGGTTTCTACTTGTATTCGCTTAATATATACATGGAATGAAGACATAACATAGAAACATGTCCAACCCTAACACATTCATTATGTGGAACATCTTATCATAGCATATTTGGATATTTATAACCCTGGATTGGGACGATATGTATGTAAACTGTGGGTGGATGTACCTTTTATACATGAACTAGTGAGACCCCAGTGTGGAATGTAGACTGTACATAAACAGACCAGGATTTATATGAAGCCAGATAAAAGTTGATTAAATTCAATAGCAGTTATTCTCCATAAAATCTCTTATCTGCATCAAGAGACTATCAACATGCGTTGAATCAAAGAAAACATATTTCTAGGAGGAACTATAGAGAGAGAGGGAGGGTGAGATGAAATACTATCATCTTGACTGCTCTTTCTTTGCATCTGCTTTGTTCTTATCTATAACAGAAGATGCAAGTGTCTAAAATATGGGTCGGAAAGAAAAAGAAGAACCAAGGCAAAGTCTGTTAAAAAGTGTTCTGGCATAAGTTTGCAAGTGATAGGGAGAGTAAATGTGATCAAGCTGTTCACGAGGAGCAGACATAAAGTATGTATGGATTAAGAGTGTGGGGGAGGGGTTACGATGGGGTGAAAAAAATCATTATGAGAGGGATATACACATAATATTGCTTTTGGAATCATCACTTTATTAAGTCCTCCGGTTTAAACAATCTTACAGATCGTTTACAAAAACATTATCATCCAAGGTAAAGATGTCATTTGTTTAGGGATAGAGATAGAAACTACCGTGATAACGTTACAGCTGACAGCCTGATTTATTTAAACGTTGTGACTCCCATGCATGTGTCATATTTTCACGATTCACATGTAGTCTGTTGCATTATCCCAGCAGAGGGTGTGTTCTTCAAATTAATATGAACATCATAAACCATGCAAAACCTCAAACAAATTCAATTTTACTATTGCTTGAAATGTGATCAAATCTATCAAAGCAAGGAGGACCATCATGGACATGCATCAGAAACCTTAAGCCTGTGGTAACACATACCTCTCTGAGTGGTTGGATATGTCAATAACGGACATTTGCATGACATCAAGCCTTCAGCTACACCAGGGGTACGATGACAGTTAGTGAGGCAGTTAGTTCATTTTACAGAACATTGTGGACTCATTCTCGTGATGAGAACTGCGATGTCTTAAATTTCCTCTGTCTACTTATGAAAAAGTACACCAGCGAGCATTTTATTCACTCGGATGTATTTTCTTTTTCAGATGAAATCTGTAATAATATATTCTCTTATGTGTACTGAAATCACGTTGGGAGGTCACACAGGTCCACTCCATGTACTATTTGTAAATTAGCATGTTACATGTAGAAGCAGCCAACAAAGTTAAAAGATCTAAATTGATAAGTGGGCAGTATCAGACAAACAAAGTAGGGAAACTCAACAACGCATTAGCAGAAAAGCTATAAACCAATTAGAAGGATGTGAATGTCTAGACGTCTCAGAATATATGATAAGTCCCCCTGGACAGAGATGGAAGTGGTGAAAGATAACATAATGAGCCTTTTGAGGGATCTCGGTTTTGGCAGGGGAAATGGGTCTCGGGGGTAATCATCTGATGGGAAGCAGGTGTGCATTAGGAAAAATAATAAATTGCCAGTGGGATGTGATGTAAAGATGATGTAAACATTAGGCTCTCACATGGATGTTTTGATTCTATCTAAAAAAGAATCACACAGGTAGATGAGCAAATGTGTTCTCCTTACTGTAAAACGTGGCTGTAAAGATGGAGGAAGAGAGTAATCCAGCTGCGAGTAGAAAAGGAGACATCATTTATAAAGTAGATTGTAAAAAGTAATGTGTAGAACTTTTACTGAATTTCATTAACATTAATCAGTTCAGTCGAGAATGTGTTAATATGCAATGTTTTTATTCCCAGTTGTACTCCATAAATCCCCCTTTCACAGTAAGAAAAGCCTAAATTAATAAAACATTACATGTTCTCAGAGCATGATTAGTCTTTTTTTTCCCCGTGTCATTGCAGCTTGTCATGCAGGTAAGTGTCTAGATCTGTCAAAGCTAAAACATTAATCCACCTCAGCTCATGAAAATTCTTCTTTTTTGGTGAACCTGATCTATTCAAAAAATCTAATAGGTATTTTCTAATTTCTTTCACTACAAACTGGACTTTCAAGAGAGAACAGAAGGATACTCTGTGCTTTAAATGTTCTAAAATCTAAAAGGCAAGGGCCAAATAGGCAGCTGAACACTTAATGAACCATCTTTCCTCAATCACACTTCTCAGCTCAAAGAGAATATTTGTTGCCAGACGATTATTTTGGCTCACGCTAATACAATTTGTGAAATCAGGTATCTTTTTTCCCTGTGAACAGGCTTAAGAAATCCACTGACACCAGGATAGTCCCACAGA